TTAGGTGGCCAAAGTATTTGAGTTTCATCTTCAGGACCTAAAGAGCAGTCAGGGTTGATCTCCTCTAGGACTGACCAGTTTGTTCGCCTTGCAGTCCAAGCGACTCACAGGAGTCTTCTCCAGCACCATAGTTCAAAGTCCTCAATTCTTTGGCGCTCAACAAGACATTAAGGTAGTTTTAAATGTTCATAATGAAAACAAGCAAATTTAGGGAAGTTCCATATTTTTTGGGAGCGCATTTCAAGAGGTATGCTCGAAAATAAAGTTTATACCATTCCTATCAAAATAAAAGTTTTCTAGTATCTGTATGGCAGACCATCAGTTGATAATGCACTGGAGAGGATGCTTTATATACACAAGCATGCTCACTTTCATATATGCCAATACTAATTCAAATTATACCTGTCCAGGTTCCCTTCTTATTCTCCTATTTCAATCCTACCATTTACACCACTCTAACTCTCTATCTCTGCCGTGATTGATCAGGACAAGTGTTTAAGCTGACACGAACTGTTTAAAGACATAGCAGATTCAGATAAGTGATAGATTTGGGCCATCCCTTCATGAATGAAACATAAGCACAAACACTTTGCAACGATCTTACGCATTAACTGAACTGTTTCTTAACATCAATAAATATCTAAACATAAGAAGTGTTGAATATTGACTATTTCTTTGATACCACGTTAAATGTATTATAGAAACCAGAGGAGCCAATATTAATGGGTAAAAAAAATTGTCACTGAAAAGTCTGAGAATATTTGCAAAGTATAAAAGTAATCTCTTCTAGGAAAATGTGTCATGAGGTGTATATAAATAACATTCTTAGAGATTCCTAAGCTTCAGCCTTGGATTTGGGAGTTGAGCCAAATCCTAATACTATTAGCACGAACTCTTATTGAGTTGTAAAAGACTCTGCTGGGGCTACAAAGACTTCTCTGGGCCAATTTTTCCATTATCCTATTTCTGCCTCTTTGAGGGGTCTTTGGTGTTTTCTGCGCTTGGCTGTTTTCTTGCTCAAACTAGGTAACATCATCAGTATTAGTCTGGTGCTGATGTTACTTACTTTGGGTAATGAAACATCTGCAAGAAAACAACTAAGCTCAGAAAGCACCAACGGCCCCTCATTTCAACTCTGAGCTACAAATATTCTTCTTTTTCAGCTTCTTTCTTTTGAATTCTGAAAAATGTTGAGTCTTACTATTGATTTTGTCCTGCTCTATATAAATCTGTTAACTGTTCTTTGCCAGTCCTGATTTTTCTCTCAAATTGGAATCTGTTACTTGGAAGAGAATGGTCATCTTGGGTGGTATACTCATTTTTTGTTATTGCAAAGAAAAATAAGTCCAACCGGGAAAGTTTTAACTTTTTCGTTAACTTTACAATGAAGCACCTGCTTTGAGAGATCCATGGATGGGCATTCAATTTGAATGATCTCTTCAGTTCTCTATTAGGAAGATCAACTCTATAGAGCAATATCTAACAGTTGAATTCAAGAACATGGAGGCCATCTGCTTATTTACTCTTCAGATAAACTGTAAAACTTCTGATGCTTATACAGATGTGTAGCACCTGTAAAGCAATTTTAAAATTAGTACAAATATGGCTTCTGGTTGTTGTTGTTGTTTTTTCAACTCAAGAGAATACTGGAAAGAAATTATGTAAAGAGATTTGAGTCTTCCATCTGAACATCAGGAAGGTAACTCTCCGATAACAGAACAGACCTGAATCATATTTAGGGAGGAGCAAAACCTGGCAAAAGAAAAGGCATATTCAAAACTGACCCAGATCTGGACAAAGACTACAGAAGGATAGCATTACAGAAAAAAAAATCCCTCAGCGCAGCCATATAAAAAAGGATAAAAATGCACTGTGGAATTCTTTTCTGGAATGTGTTCTCTTCTCTCTCTTTTGTTCTAGTGACAATGTCACAAAGCAAGTATTAGTAGTACTTTAAGTTATTATGCACTTTCAAGAAGAGCAACAAAGATGATTAGGTGACTAGAGGATAAAACATATAAAGAACAGTTGATGAAATTGGGTATATCTAGTTTAATGAAAAGAAGGACTAGGGGGGACATGATAGCAGTGTTCCAATATCTCAGAAGCTGCCATAAAGAAGAGGGAGTCAAGCTATTCTCCAAAGCACCTGAGGATAGGAGAAAGAAGCAATGGGTGGAAACTAATCAAGGAGAGAAGCAATTTAGAACTAAGGAGAAATTTCCTGACAGTTAGAACAATTAATCAGTGGAACAACTTGCCTCCAGAAGTTGTAAATGCTCCCAACATTGGAAGTTTTTAAGAAGAGATTGGACAACCATTTGTCTGAAATGGTATAGGGTTTCCTGCCTAAGCAGGGGGTTGGACTAGAAGCCCTCCAAGGTGCCTTCCAACTCTGTTATTCTGTTCTGTTCTGTTCTGTTCTGTTCTGTTCTGTTCTGTTCTGTTAAGACAGTACAGACATATAACAAAATAATAACTGAAACAATAATGCATTACAGGCAGTTCTTGACTTACAACCACATTTGAACCAGGAACTTTGGTCATTAAGTAACGGTAGTTGCTCACATGACTGGGGTCAATTTTATTACTGCTTTTATGACAGCCACTAAGCAAGTGGCTGTGGTCATTAAATGAATCATAAGGTCATAAGTCTGAATCCAGCTTTTCCAATGGACCTTTTTTTTTTTGCTGATCATATGACCACGAGACACTGACCACTGGTCATAAATGCAAGCTGGTTGCCAACCACATGTTCACAGGGTGGTGAAGCAATCAAATTTTCAAGGACGGGTCATTAGTAACTTTTTTTTTTAGTCCAGTCAGAAGTCGGCAACTACCTGTACAAAGACTCAGAGTCATCTCTGAGTAAGCAATTTGGAATTTTACATTTTTCTCAGGACCTGAATCCATCTACCTCTGCACATCTTTTTGGTACAATATCACTTGGGCCACATTCCAAAAATCATGTCCTATGTGCTTTCTCAACTTTGTTTAAGCCTCTAATTCACTTACTAGTTAGCATGTGTCTGATAGAGGGAAGTTAAAGGCAGAAATTTCCTTCAACCGAGCATATATGCTAGTGACTACATAAAGACATCCATGTCCAGGCAACAATATGATTGATGCTTGACTTCACCTAGGGTGTTTACAGTATATAGTCTATATATACAGTATGTAGGACTGCAAACTTATATTTTGTCACATCCTGAAAAAAATGATTCTAATTAAAAAATAAATCAAAGACCATTTGTTTCCGCATCCTTATCTGATTAACATTGTCCGAACTGTCTTTTTCCATAAGGATACAACACACCTAGGGACACAGTGGCTCAGTGGCTAAGATGCTGAACTTGTCGATCGAAAGGTCGGCAGTTCAATGGTTCAAATCCCTAGTGCTGCGTAATGAGGTGCGCTCCCGTTACTTGTCCCCAGCTTCTGCCAACCTAGTAATTCGAAAGCACGTAAAAAATGCAAGTAGAAAAATAGGGACCACCTTTGGGGTCTGGGACCACGCTGTGGGAAGGTAACAGCATTCCGTGTGCCTTTGGCGTTTAGTCATGCCAGCCACATAACCACAGAGACATCTCTGGACAGTGCTGGCTCTTCGGCTTTGAAATGGAGATGAGCACCACCCCCTAGAGTCAGGAACGACTAGCACATATGTGTGAGGGGAACCTTTACCTTTACAACACACCTGTTTTCACCAAATACTAGAAGTTGTATAATCTCAAGAAGTTCCTTTCTAAACCACCAACAATTCTTTTTTAAAGCCAAAGACACGCACACATATGAAAATATAGACTGTCACAGAAGTTCCATGGAAATTGTATAGAACCTGAACATCCATAAAGGAGAATATTTGTAGTTCAGGGTTGAAATGAGGACTCCCTGGTGCTCTTTGAGCTTGGCTGTTTTCTTGCAGACATTACATTAGGTAACAAACTAGGTAAAAGTGCACTTATGATGTTACCTAGTTTGGGTAAATGAAACATCTGCAAGAAAGCAGCCAAATTCAGAGAGCATCAATACTGCTCAGACTGACATCTGATTTTATCATCTATTTTAAAAAGAGTTCATTTGAAAGGATCTTATGGGATGATATGACCCAACAATATGAAACTGTTCCTGAATAAAAACGACAATTCTACTTTTTTTCTTTTCCACCTTTTGATCACTGATCTTCCGACTAGATAGAATAACTACAAATGGGATAAGAAACAGAGGAAGAGCATGAGATGTTTTGAAACAATTTATTATTCAGGAAACAAGAATAATTTGCAGGAGGATGGAGAAAAGGATTAGTGAGTATAAAACAAATTTCTCCTGCCACTGCATTTAGCTCACTCACTGCATGCTTACTTGATGGAAACTCAACAAGTCCCATTAGTTCAGGTCAACACCTTAAGTAGCAAGGGACGGCAAACTTGATGAATGGCATTGAGACAGAAAGCAGAATCAATCCCAATTAATACTTTTAAATCAACACGGGAGGGAATTTTGTCATGCCAAGAATTTTTTTTTCATTTTTTTTAAAAAAGGAAGATGTGGAACACAAACCTAAGATCTCCTCACCGCTTGTCTTAAGACAGTGGTTCTCAACCTGTGGGTCGGGACCCCTTTAGGGGTCGAATGACCCTTTCACAGGGGTCGCCTAAGACCATCGGAAAACACATATTTTCAATGGTTTTAGGAATAATTTTATGGTTGGGGGTCACCACAACATGAGGAACTGTATTAAAGGGTCGCAGCATTAGGAAGGTTGAGAACCACTGTCTTAAGAGGACATGCATGGAAAGTATAAATCTGAAAGCAGAATATGTGTCTTTCAAAGCAGAGATCCGAGGCACGTCTTTCATTCAAGAGTGTCCCACAGGTGAATTGGTCAACCTGTTTCAGACTGGAGTCTCTGCTTTCCCCTTTCCCCCCATTCTAGCTGTGCATCAGGAAATCAACCAACCAACCAACCAACCAACCAGAATAGCTGAATATTGGTTTACCTGGTAAAGGTCCCTTACCCCACACCACGTGCTCAGGGTTTGGTGGCAGCCCCTCACTCTTTGCGTGTACCATCTCCGGAGCGCCGAGATGGTTAAGTTCCAGACGAAACGGCTGCCGCTAAAAAGGAAATCTTCCACTCCACACATGAAAACCGAAGTCATGGTCTCCGATCGGCTGCTTCGGAGCCTCAGTCCAACAAGCCACGCTGCTTCCTTGCCTCGAGTCTCTCAGATATATATATTCAGATTTGACCCAAAAAAAAAAAAAGCTCCAAACTTCTGCAAAGGCAAGCAGGCGCCTTTTATACCGCGCAGCACGGGAAAGGGTGGCGATGGGGTGTGGGAGGTGTGTGAGGTCAAGCCATCCAGACACAAACTCGCCTTTCTCCCTCTTGTTTCCTGGGCAGACTGGCGTGGCTTCAAGTCCGGCCAACGGCTGCGGTGGCTCCTCCTGACTAGGAGCGCACAGAGCAGCCTTGTGCCCTTCGCAACAGCTTAAGAGAAGATAAATCTGCCTTTAAGCTTCTGGAGCTACCAGTGCGGGCTCTAATTACACGTTTAACCCATTTCTGGAGTGCACGCCTCTTCCCCGGTCCCTCATCTGAACGCTGAACACTCTGGGGCGTGCGAGTGCGTGTGCACGAGAGCCACAAAACAATCCCTTTCAAGTAACTCAATACGCTTCCCTCTGGTGCCCTCCGTGGGGGAAGCTCGTTCCGCGTTTGAGACCCCTCTTAAGCTGCATCTCCAGCACCTCTTTCTTTCTTTTCTCCGTTCAGTCTTTCCCCCCTATCTGTTGCATGCAAACAACTTCAAAACCGTTTGATAAAAAAAAAAAAAAAAAAAAAAAGACGGTATCCTTTCCCTCCCTTCCCGTCCACCGATTTTAATTCTTAAAAAAAACCCATTGAGTCCATCCCAATGAAAACAAGGTGACAAGTTTCTGAAGCCCGTATAAAACTCACTCGGAACATTATATTCCTGACTTAAAAGGGAATTAACTCCGATCCCCTCCACCCCCTATTGAAACGAAGGATAATCCTATTAATGCAGCGCGAGGAAAAAACAGAAGCTGAGCCTTTACCTCAGTGCAGACTGAGGTAAATAAACACTTTGGGAAATGGCAGCCCCAAGAGAATCGCAGGATTCCCTCTGTAGTTGGCATAAAATTAAGCCGCGCTGCGGAGCCCTTTGGAGAGTTCAATCCACAGCGCCAGAAAACGTCTTTCATTGTATAGGCAATTCCTTACAAAGGATCTGATGGGGAATAGTTTGTTTGATGCTGGCAGAGTTGAAGGAATTTTTTTAAAAAAAGAATTTACACAGAATCTAGGTTTTTTCCCTCCAACTAATTCTTCACTAGGAGTCCGCTAAGGAGAGAAAAGTTTTTGCCTTTTATTATTCATGAAGTTAGGAAGCTGTTGTTGCCTTAAGAGAGAGGAGGAATAGGAGTCTGGACAGAGCAAGGCAACTTTTCAGGAGGAATAAAAAATAAAAGAATTGGCTGAAGAATACCAATTGTCATAAAGATGGTTAGTATCACAAAAGCGCTACATTCAATTTGCCAGAAAATTTGGAAAACTCAACAGCGGCCACAGAATTGGAAAAGGTCAGTTTACATTCCAATTCCAAAGAAAGGCAATGCCAAAGAATGTTCAAACTATCGCACCATTGCACTCATTTCACATGCTAGTAAGATTATGCTTAAAATCCTACAAACTAGGCTCCAGTAATATGTGGATCGAGAACTACCAGAACTACAGGCAGGATTTCGAAGAGACAGAGGAACTAGAGATCAAATTGCCAACATATGCTGGATCATGGAGAAAGTTAGGGAGTTCCAGAAAAACATCTACTTCTGCTTCATTGACTATACTAAAGCCTTTGATTGTGTGGATCACAACAAACTGTGGCAAGTTCTTAAAGAGATTACCAGACCATCTTATCTGTCTCTTGAGAAACCTATATGCGGGTCAAGAAGCAACAGTGAGAACTGGACACAGAACCACTGATAGGTTCAAAATAGGGAAAGGAGTCCAGCAAGGCTGTATACTGTCACCCTGCCTATTTAACTTATATGCAGAGCACATCATGAGAAAGGCAGGGCTAGATGAATGAAAAGTTGGATTTAAGATTGCCGGGAGAAATATCAACAACCTCAGATATGCAGATGATACTCTAATGGCAGAAAGTGAAGAGGAACTAAAGAGCCTCTTGATGTGGGTGAAGAAGGAGAGTGCAAAAGTTGGCTTGAAACTCAACATTAAGAAAACTAAGATCATGGCATCTGGCCCTCTCAATTCCTGGCAAATAGATGGGGAAGAAATGGAGGTAGTGACAGATTTCCTGGGCTCCAATATCACTGCAGATGGGGACTGCAGCCAAGAAGAGCCAAGACTGCTCCTGTGAGTCCCTTGGACTGCAAGGTGATCAAACTGGTCAGTCCTAGAGGAGATCAACCCTGACTGCTCTTTAGAAGGCCATATCCTGAAGATGAAACTCAAATATTTTGGTCACCTAATGAGAAGGAAGGACTCAATGGAGAAGATCCTAATGCTGGGAAAGATTGAGGGCAAAAGAAGAAGGGGACAACAGAGAATGAGGTGGCTGGATGGAGTCACTGAAGCAGCAAGCGTGAGCTTAAATGGACTGTGGGGGACGGTAGAGGACAGAAAGGTCTGGAGGAACGTTTTCCATGGGGTTGCGATGGGTCGGACACGACTTCACAACTAACAACAACAACATCACAAACTTTTTTTTTTTTATTTGATTTATATGCCGCCCTTCTCCGGAGACTCAGGGCGGCTTACAGTGTGTTAAGCAATAGCCTTCATACTTTTGTATATTTATACAAAGTCAGCTTATTGCCCCCACAAACTGGGTCCTCAATTTACCTACCTTAGAAAGGATGGAAGGCTGAGTCAACCTTGAGCCTGGCGAGATTCGATCTTACTTTAATTGCAGACAGATGATGTTAAATTACAGTGCTTCTGTCTGTTGAGCTAAACCAGGCTCCTATCTAATTAATAGATACTGCAAAGGCCCATGCCATTCTTCTGGTGAATGCTAGCTTTAGATGTTCATGTGCTTGCACAACAGTGCTACAGTACTTATTTGCTTACAACAACATGCCTCAAAGAAAAAAGAACAAGACCACAGAACCTTATTTAATGGTTAAAATACATCAATTAGAAAATTAATCTATGACATCCATCAAGGTTATTCAACTGGATCTTCACATTTTGTAAAGGAGAGACTTGTAGAATATTGTATAAATACAGTACGACCACTTGGTTCAAATGTGGTACTTTCAACACATATCAAATTCCCACTCCCACTGGGTTAATGAGTGTGGGAGCTGGGTAATTGAGTATGTTTGGTGAACACCAGATATGAAAGACTGCAATAAGGCAGGATCCGTTTTTAAAGAATGAAGATAAAAGATGAATTTTTAAGGGGAACTCTTAATTCAAAGTCATATTTTTAAAAATAGTTTGCGAATGTAAGTAGTCCAAGACTTAGTCATGTGACTTGTGCCCAGGGCTATTTTCAACAGTGAGCAGAGAAAGGAAAAGTATATGAGGCTAGATCTGAACAGTCAGGATATTAATATTTAATTAAGTAAAATGAATAATGAAAGCAAGCACTGACCAATCATATGCTTTCTTCAAGTTCAGAAGAAAGTTAGCACATTCCCACGTTTCTGTTTTTGTTTCTCCCCTTCAAAATGAATACATATTGCTTGTGTTTTTATATGTAGGTTTTTCTCTTTTTGTAAGTGCTCGCAGACATATTCATGCCGCTTTCTCATCGAGTAGGGCACTTCAAAGAAGAAAAAGGAAGCATTAAAAAGATAATCCTATCAATTCCAAAATTTTTCTGAAGTTTCATTTCATATAGAGTTAATACCTAAGTCTTAAATACCAAGAATTCTGGTTTCTTTTCATTTATGTCCTAATCTTAGAATTCTCAAATAATGAGAAACTATTCCGAAGTAGTTTATCGCAAGCATGGAAATTGTTCTGCTGAATTTTGGCAGCACGTTAATGAGAGTTGGGGTCTTCTAGGGCCCAGGTAGATATTATAATAATAATCTCACAGCAGTTCAGTTACAGAATAACTCTATATACCCGTGATGGCAGACCTATGGCACATGTGCCAGAGGTGGCACGCAGCACCCTCTCTGTGGGCACGCGAGCAGTCACCCCAGTTCAGCTCCGCTGCACATGTGCGTGTGCCTCCCACCAGCCAGCTGGTCTTTGGGTCTCTGCCACACATGTGGGGGGGGCACATGTGGGGGGGGTACCGTGTGCACATTGCATTTTGGGGTTTCGGGCGTGTGCGTGTGCTTTGGGCACTCTGTCCGGAAAAGGTTAGCCATCACTGCTATATACCTACTCAGAAAACAGTTCACTAAAGCTTACTCCAAGATAAATAAACATTTTCATAAACTAAAAGCCCTTTTTAATTCATTTGGTCAGCTTTATATAATAGCTGGAAAGTAAGGTGTCTCTTCACAAATACATGCAGGCATGAGAAAGAACAACTTATGATTCCTCACCATCCGAGCTAGCACACTGCAACCTAGTATGGAAAGCAACTTTATTTTGACTGTACAAATTTCCATCACTGCTATGTGATAGAAATTGATACAAAGTCCAGAATAATTAAAGTAGAAAGCAGTTCAAGATAAGAAAAACAAAACATAAATATGGTCAAGTGACACATGAGTCTATGTTTGGGTCTACCTTGTGGTATTCACATCTCACTGTTATTCATCTGCATAATCTTATCCTTTGCCCTATTGGGGAAAGCAGGCAAAATGGCCACTTATGCATTTTCTAGGTTCCTCACCCACCGACACAAATCCCTCATACTTACAGGTAAATTCACTAATTGTCAGGATTCCAAGTTACACCCCTAACGAAAGAAGACTCCGAGCCTTGAGTTTCTTCAGAATTCTATTTTATTAGAGATGTTTTATTGGCACATCTGGGAAAACCTGAATCTGAAAGTTTCCAGGTTTTCCGCACCCAAAAGAAAGTTCAAGTCTCTGCCCAGCATCCACATGTCCATCACATGATTCAATCAGGCACTATCCAAAACTGGAGATGCTCCCAGGTCCAACCTCCTAGGTGCAGGGCAAGATGGCCTTGACTTTCTGAGAAAGGAATGTTATTATGACTACATATCACCCATGCTCTATACAATCCCCCCTCCCAGTTTTCCACAGCAGAAAATGTGGCAGGCCTGAAGGCCCAAATGTAAAAGATGGCTTCCAGGTCGGACACTAATATTGGACAGCCTAAAAGAAGTCAGAACCAAATCACGTCTGAATGGTCCATGAGTCATCAAAAATCAATCGCAACTCAAAAATAACTTGACATTCTGGTTAGCAATTAATCTACTTGTAGATATTTTGAGCACACTTTAGAAAAGATTCTTTGCTTTGATGGAGGTCACTGTTCTTTTTTTAGAGAAAAATCTTAAAAGGAATACTGACTCATATTATGAGATGGGCATCTTAAAAGCAGAGAAAGAGCTAGGATGCCGAAAAGATAGAAAAAGGCTTAGTATAATTATGTCAGTGGGGTAGGTGGAAGAAGATCAATGGGAGGTATACATCACTTTGAAAAGACTGAAAACACCAGAAAAAAATGGCTGTTCCATATTTTTTGAACTTCAGCCAGAAGATGAGCACTCTGTCTGATATTAGTTCAACAGATTGCATTTAAGAAAATAACTAGCTTTATTTTATTAAATGTCATAATTATGAACAAAATGATATAAATATAGAAGACAATGTAGGGAAGAAAATTGGAATTGGAGGAGAAAAAAAAGAAATATCTCTAAAGTTTGCTAATCATAGATCATAGATTATAGAATTTTATTGGCCAAGTGTGATTGGACACACAAGGAATTTGTCTTGGTGCATATGCTCTCAGTGTACATAAAAGAAAAGATACGTTCATCAAGAATTC